CCAACCTCGCCGAGGGGCATCAATGCACTGACTCCGCCCCCGTCCCCCGGCGCCGCGCCCCCCAGCGCGGCCGTCATGTCAGAGCCGCAGTCGTAGGTGAAGCCCTGCAGTGGTGCGGCGCTCTCGCAGCTCTTCTCCTCCTGCTTGGGCAGGGTGGCCCCGGCGGCGGCGCGTCTCTGCGAGATGATCTGCGTGCACTCGTCGATCACGGTCTTTCCTTTCCTAAAGAATATGGGCTTAAAGTGCACACTCTGAGCTTTAATTTGAGGGTATTCTTATCACAATTGGAGGAAAGGTTAAGGAATTAAAACAGCTCCTTAATATGCACCTCCCCCCTTATTCAAGGGACCATAAGTAATTGGACAGTAGGGCTGTGATGATAACCGCATTACTGCAGTAATGAGATGCCGACTGCGGTGTTGAGGTCAACTCCGTCATCACCGCACTTTTTCCTTTTTTCCGGTCCCAAAAATAATCCGTGCAGACACTGAAGTCGAAAGGTAGGCTATTTGCAGGAGGAAGCCCTTGATCTGCACTCTGACCGCTTGCCTGGTGGCGGGATAATCAGGCTCGATTAGAGGTCGACCGATTGCATTTTTAAATGAATCTGCATCAGCCGATTGTGCTGCAAATTAGGCCGATTTATAGGCAGGCGCATCTGCGGGCAGCTAAGCATTGTTGCGGAACACCGGAGAATCTTTCTGGCTGCGTGAGACGGAGCAGCTCACACTCTGCAGTCGCGGCTCGTTCACACACAGCTTCAGCTAATGATGGCAGGGAAAAACAGACCGTTTCGAAAGCGTAATTACATTTTACCCTACTAGAATTGATGCCGGAACGTTATTATATTCATAAGCGCAACAAGTCATTTGCATGTTAAAGTAGAAACACGTGCAATTCAGACGAAACTTCTGGGCTGATTATAACGTGCACGATAACTTTCCTCATGAAATGTGTGTGTGGGTCCGACAATAGCCTCCACGATGTCATCGCTCGTGAGCTGCAGGCTGTGTAATATGAGTAAACTTTTATTTTTATCACTTAGATTATGGCCAATTGAATTATAGCAGTGTCCAATGTTTCCCATACATTAAATTATTTGTGGCGGCTCGTCACAATATCAAAACTGACCGCCACAAATAGATTTCCCAAAAGGCTTATACTTCCTTGAATAATCTGAGAGCTGCATGTTTCAAAATTAAAATGCAGCACTGGTGTTTTTATATGAATGTATCTTTGAAAATAACCGACCGTCTTCAGAAAAGCTTCGATGTCATTTTGTCTCTCCTGTAATGCCTGATAAGAGTAGCGTTTGTGAGCCCAGTGCTTATTAGATCACAGCCGTTACCGGGGAAACCGCTATATCTCCCGCTCCAACAGCGCCTCCTGCTGGCAGAGAATCAATGTGCATTTGCAATTTCTGCGGCGATTAACTGCCTAACCACGTGATGCCATTTCCATTTGGAAGCTGTTGCTGTGAACCACATCATGCGGTCAAAGGAGCTCTCCATACAAGTGAAACAGACGATTGATAGGCTTCAAAAACAAAACAAATCCATCAGAGAGATAGCAGGAACAAATCAACAGTTTGGTACATTCTGAGAGAAAAAGAACGCAGTGGTGAGCTCAGCAACATAAAAAGACCTGGACGTCCACAGAGGACAACAGTGCTGGATGATCGGAGAATCCTCTCCATGGTGAAGAAAACCCCTTTCACAACATCCAGCCCAGAGAAGAACACTCTCCAGGAGGCAGACGTGTCTCTGTCAAAGTCTACGATCAAGAGAAGACTTCACCAGAGCAAATACAGAGGCTTCACCACAAACTGCAAACAAGGGCAGATTAGACATTGCCAAAAAACATCTAAAACAGCCAGAGCACTCTTTGGACGGCTGGAATTAAGATCAAGCTGTACCAGAATGATGGGAAGAAAGAAGTCTGGAGAAGGCTTGGAACAGCTCATGATCAAAACACACACATCATCTGTTAAACACGGAGCAGTGTGATGCATGAGCATGCATGGCTTCTGTGGCATTGGGTTACTGGTGTTTAGTGAAGATGAGACAGAAGACAGAACCAGCCGGATGAACTCTGAAGAGTATAGAGATATACTCTCTGCCCAGATTCAGCCAAATGCAGCAAAGCTGATTGAGCGGTGCTTCATAGTACAAATGAACAATGACCCAAAACATACAGCAAAAGCCACCCAGGAGTTTCTGAAGGTAAAACAATGGATTATTCTGCAATGGCAGAGTCAGTCTCCTGATCTCAACCCGATTGAGTTGCATTTCACTTGCTGAAAGAGCCACAAACACACATCAACTGAAGTCAGCTGCATTAAAGGCCTGACAAACCATCACAAAATGGTTGGCTTCCTCGGGGCCAACAGCTAGGATTTCACTTCAGCGGGGCTTCTTCGGGGCCAACGGCTAGGATTTCACTTCAGCGGGCTTCCTCGGGGCCAACAGCTAGGATTTCACTTCAGCGGGGCTTCCTCGGGGCCAACAGCTAGGATTTCACTTCAGCGGGGCTTCCTCGGGGCCAACGGCCAGGGGTTTCACTTCAGCGGGGCTT